ATCAATAAATATGACATTCAATGGTTGTAAAATTTTTACTCTTAGGGGGAGGGGGGGTAGTAAAATAAAATAGAGAATGAAAGTTATTGTGGAAATTTGCTGTTTGTGTGGTTGTGGAAGCTAGAATGATTAAACTTTTTTCTTTGTCTTTTTAGGGTTAGTTTATTAAATACCTTACTAATATTATAAATGTGAAAGTAACTTTGTCTGTTTGTCGATATATATATATTGAAATTTGAAACAGACATAGATAGACTAGATCCTGAGAAAGGACATAGGTTACTTTTTAATGTGAAAAAGGGTTGCAAGAGGATTGAAAGGGTAGATCCAAGGTTATATAGATGTATCGTCATGTTTAAAGCTAGAAGCTTGAAATTTATTTTTTCTATTGATTAAAGATTTATTTTTACTTTTTATCATTTTTGAAGCTAAAACGATGAAACTTATTTATTTGACTTCATCATCATCATCGTCATCGCAGCCCGGAAGACGTCCACTGCTGGACATAGGCTTACCCCAAAGATCTCCACGACGATCGGTCCTGCGCTGCTATTTATCCAATGCCTTCCAGCGATCTTGACCAGATCGTCGGTCGGTTATTTGACTTATATTGTGTTAATTGAGTTAAATATTTTTTCATTATTTACGCGGACGAAGTCGCGGGTACAGCTAGTATAGAATATTTTGTTAATAAGATAGTGTAAAATTCATTTAAGTACTTGTTTGTTTTTTATTTCAATTGTGACGGCCTCGTTGGTCTAGCAGTTTGGCACACTGCTTTACTGCCGATGGTGGCGATTTTGATTCCTGCGTGAAACGTGCGTGTAAAAATTTATATTCATGAGTATGATTGTTTGTATCGGTCGGGGTGTTTTCTATGTATATTATGTATGTATTTTAAAAAAATCTAAGTATTTATATCAGTTATCTATTATAGTACATACATGTAACACAAGCTCTGCTTACCGTGGGACTAGATGGCGCTGTGTCAATAAAATTTTCCATGGTTATTTATATATTTATTAAGTTTAGCTTATATATGGTGTTGGTGACAGTCGGAAGGAGAAAGGAGAAGAGTTGCTTTGTTCGCCTGCTTAACGTCTGGATGTTTTAATGGACCTAGGACTTCTTTATCCACCTACAGTGCGCTCATATGCCTTAAGCGTTTTATAAGCAGAAGAGGATCCCAGACACGATCTATTCGGACAACAGGACGGCGTTCGTTGGCTCTATTCACCCGCTCTCACACATTTCATTTCAGTTGAATCATTCCAATATCATCTGGTCTCGGTTGTTTTAGGTGAGGGTGATTTTCTCAGAAGAAGTGATTAGCGGAAGACTCATTGTTTAGTCAACGTGTTTTGGTCTCGCTTTTTTAAGGGCATTTTACCGACACTAATTCTGAGGAGATCCCCTGACCACAACCAGGACCAAACAGTGACCGTAGGAGGTAACCACCTCTGGCCGTATCTCCGTCAGTCACTGAAAATGCTGGTCAAGTTGCCAGTAGACTTTTAGTAAGATGTGACTATGTCACAGGAGGGTGGGATGTTACTGGCAGCTTGTCTACCATTCTTTTTATATACTTTATATTTTTTATATCTATTTTTTTATATGTCACTTTTGACGAACTAATATTGTTTTGTTACTTCTCGCTGTGAGCCCTTTTGGGAAGAATACACATTTTTACTAGTATTTGGTTTTTATTAAAATAGTAGTTGTGTTCCCGCTCCAGTAACATATGGGAATTATAACTATTTGATTATCAGTGGAAACATGGAATATACATATAATATTAGAATACTTAAAACTCAGTGAAAACTTTGGTTGTTGAATTATTCCATTAAAAACGTTCCGCTTATCGACAATCGCTGCACGTGAAGAAAATGGCATTACTCATAACAGTAAAATGAGCACTGTTCTACATGTATTATGACTTATGACATTAACATGGCTTCAGTCTTTAATCTACACTGGCTATATAGCTAGATACGGCTATAGACAATTGATATTTTATTTAGTTTAAAGAAAGTTCAATAATTTCGACTTGCTAATTGTTTGCTTTAGTTGCTTGCTAGTTTCAGTGTTTGTATAAAATATTTTTGGGTAAGTACTCCCATGGTTGTATACTATAATTCTACTGTTGAAAATATAACAAGAGTGTAGGCACTCTTGTTCGGAAACGTTTATTTAGTTTTCCATTGTGCGCTATCAATTGATTGATTCCCTACTAATTGAGTAACTGGAATAATACACATCTTACTTTTATGCTGTACGTTATTTTGGAGATTTTAAAACAATTCAAGTTATATTATTTAAACTGTCAAAATATTGAAGTTTTTACTTTATGACAATGTTTTCCATGTATTTTGATGATCTTAAATCTATCAAAGGCATATAGGCGAAGGAGTACCAAGCTGCCATAAAGCTTAAAAATTTCATAAAGAAAAAAGTGGAAATGGACAACTATTTTTTAACATTTCTCTTAAATTAAACTAACTTTTGAAAGTTATTATCAATTTTCCACTTTGCTTCTTTGGGAAAGTTTTACAGTTCATGGATAGGTACCATTATTGGATTTCGGATTTGTATACCTTTTACGTATAACCCTGTAGAGGTACACAAAGAAATGTTGCAAGGTATTGACAAATATCGAAGTACAAACAGAAGAAACCAGTTGGACTCAGTTGGTATGTGTCAACATAAATATTAATGGTACTTCTAAGGCCGCATAGGGCGGCCTAGGGGAGTTGCAAGGAAATACCCCACGTTTCGTAGAACTCAATTCTGTGGCGCCGACTTGCCGGACATTATTATTACCTGGAAGCAAAATAAATTATGAATAACTACCTGGATTTTTAGAATCGACCGATTTATATATGGAAATAGATTATCCAAGAAATTATTGCAATATTTGCAATGTTAAAATGATTAATTCAATAGTTAAAACTGATAGATACTTTATTTAGCACATATGTACTTTTAACATACTTCCTATTGAATTTATATAAGTAGTGTCATATCATTTTCTGACAAGAATTATGATGAAGATGTTTTGATGTATATACTATAAAAAAAAGTCAGGTACAAATAGAATACGAAAACGTTATTATCAATTAAAATTTTTGCGCGAGTTTCAATTTATCATCAATATTTTATTAATCGAATTTTATAGCTAATGGAATAAAAATCGTTTTTAAAACCTTGGAATAAAAATTGTTTTTATACACATTCATTTTTAATCGGTACTCATATATAGGTATAGTTAGGTTTTGCTGGTGCCTGCCTGTACTAACGGCATACGGTGGTGATAAACGATGAATTACCAATAAAAGTTAATTAGTAGTAGAAAGTCACGTTATGGAATTCAGATCAATTAACTCATCGTGACGAATTTTCTAGAAATTGCCCATGATAATTTCCAGGAGAACTAGTTGGGGTCGACCTGTCATGGTTAGGTACCATGTCAGGTGTACCTCGGCTCGTTCGTGGTGAGTTCCGTGATGTGATATCCTCATTGCTAGCTATTAAACTACTACACTCTCCCCACTAAAAACTGTTCTCTCCCTCTTAGTTACAATAGTTCGGATGTTATGAAGTTCGTGCTTAAAGTACTGTATGCCTACGTATATTGAAAATATAATATTATGGCAAAATGTTACGGTTAGTTGGGTTAACGATGATACATTTTAAGGTCTGTAGCGCGGATTTAATAAACAGGAATTACAAGCAACTTTTGCCAAATTTAAAGTGAAATACCTTCTGTTTATTTAATATCTACGTTTCACGTCAACTTGTGGTTGGAATTTTGTCCAGGAAGTGGACCGTTCAGTATTCATTACTTATATCACTTACGGCCGCAAGGGCCCAACCGCAACTTACCTCACGAAACCCTTGAAAATTTACAACGAGTTAGAAATAGTAGGTTCTATATTCTATATACTCGTACATATGTACGTTCTTCAATTATCGTTTATTCAAAATTATCAGAAGAAATCATTATAGACACAAATAGAATTAATTTGAGATATGGCCTCTGAATTAAGTATATAATTTTATGAAAATTGTATTTACCTACAGTTTATAATTTTTCCCGTCTATTATACTAGTTGTTTCCTGTGACTTCATTTGCTTTTTTTATATACTTTAATATTGTTGTAGGACTATAATTTATCTTTGTATTAAATTTAAAGATTAGTTCTGTTGAATGAGTAGGTACCTACTGTAGTATATTTTAATTAGGTAACCATAACTATAAATATACTCCTATTTACTACTGAGCAGATGAATCCCGAATTGTCCTTGTATCGCCATGACGAATACTATAGGCCAATTAATTAATCTCGACACTGCTTAAATGGAATGATCGATACTTGATAAAGTAACACGCAGTTCGTAACAATTACTACAAAATGTCTACACTTTTTTGGAACAAAGATACATTTTTGTAATTTGCTTATATTTGTTGTAAAAAATGCAATGTAACCGACACTTGAGATTAAAAATGTTCACTTTTCAGCGCTTTTTATTTAGTCCCATGCCAATAAAGTCATTATAATAACCGTAATACTATAAAAGAAAATGTCAGAATCAGAAGGTTATAAGCTGGGGTTATTTTATGAATCGTACGTTTGCCTGTTTCATGTGAAAGAGATAGCAACAGTGAAAAGGGGTGGTGCTTTATGTGACCGTTGCAAGCAGCTTGCACTAGTTATCTGCGAGCCTTCGCCGGAGGCGGTCGTGTGTAGTACCCTAATCGGATGACGCGTATCAAACTTTTCACGAGATATCAGGAAATTGTTACACGTTTCCAAAGTTGACCACCTCCTTAATCACTTTTTTGCGTGTGTCAAATGCAATTCAAATATTATTTACCGTGTCTAATACAGAAATATTTTTACTTTTATGATAAATGAGTTATAATTTTTCATTTCAATATTATTTTTATATTAAAAAACTATGACTTCAATTAAGTGATATTATTAATTTCACAAAATTTATGACAATCAACTAAACATTTATTTAATTATAATATGTTGGCGCCCAACATGGGACCGTAAAATATATGAAAAAATTTACATTGTTCCATTTTTAAAGAATAATATTAAAACAGCCTATAATTTAAACATGTACTTTTATCAATCAAGCCTAATTAAAAGCGGAAAAACTTTGTTGGCGTTACTTGTTTTGGATTGGTTGTTTGCAGGCTCGACGGATGCTACAGCACGTAAGTAAATTACTTTTAATTACAATGTAACTATGGTACTCTTGTACTGTGAATTTTGGTATTAATTATGAGAGATGTCAGTTACACAAAGATTCGTTCTTGAGTTTAATTAAAATTATTTCGTCTAATTATAAAGACTTGTTTAAAATATTTATGACAACACAATGTTATTTAATATAAAAATAAAAAAAGCGTAAACTTAATCTCAAAAAGAGTTTTAATAATTAGAGCTAAATATCTACTTGTCCAGGGAAGTGGCCATCAGGCAGAAATATATCAATATTAAATATCAGCCGAGCAGTCAGATGTAGTAAATTTATTAGGTATACCAGTAAGAAGGTATACGAGAAATAAAAATTAATGCATAAAATCCAGAATTAATTTCAGTAGGTATATACAAATACAATTTTTTTTTCGTTTAGATAATAACACTGTGCGAACTACATTATAATAATTGTATTATTAAAGGGTTAAAATGACATTGAACAGAATGATGAATGCTCATCTCGGAAAAAGTATTATATTTATATTAATTTATATCTAACTATTAATAACTAATTATATCCCTGTATTCTAATTAGGTAACCTATACATTATTTTTTATTTACACAAATGTACACTTTTAAATCCTAAACTTGTAATATTACACTTTTATTAAGTTAGTAAGAACAATAGTTGTAGTAGTTACTAATTTTTCTTTGTTAATGTAGATGTAGGTAAATGAAAGTTAGGATAAACATCAAAATGACGAATTCAAAGAAATAATTACTATTCTATTTATAATATATGTATATTCATACTGCTAGATTGTTTAACATCTCCTATGCCAATAACTATTACATATCTTAAACAAATGTCATAATTATGAAAATAATGATAACTAATATTCGGTATAACGAACGTAGACGGTTTGAATAATTATTTCATACATTGTTAATTGGCCAGGCTGACATAATTTTTTTGTATGTAAATGCCTTAAGGCATTGAAGCTACTGTTATGTCTTTTATATCAGATGATACAATGGTTTTTATTATCTTTCTAATTATAATGCGAAAACGTTAAAACGAGAGCATGAAATTTTGCCGCCAATTTATGAATTGTCTGTTTATTATCGTAAAACTAATGAATTATTTCTTTTAGATAAAATTCTCGTATACAACGACAAAACTTAATATTACGGGCCAGATACCTTGGTATAGTGTTTTGTTTAAAGTTTTCCGTCTTGTGCATTGGTGTAACGGGCTTTATAATCCTAGACGTTTAGGACATCTTGTCGGGATGAAATTTAGTAATAACTTATGTATTCTTACCGTCTACTTATAAGCCTACAAAAAGACCAATTATACGAACATAATATCAACTCATATGACTTTCTGTTGACCTTCATTGTCTGGTACCGTGAGACACTGAAACATCTAAAACGAAGCCATAGGTAAATGTACTTGTGTGTCCTCTGTCTATACCCTACGTCATTATACATAAAAAATTGTACGTACTGTAAAAATTGAAAATGAATTTGCAAAACCACGCTAAAAACAAATAATATGCACATAATCACCAAAACTATGTTTATCGACAGTCAAAACCATATTAACATATGAATTGTAGTCGGACATTTTATCATGTGTTTATGATCATAGTTATTAAAAACATTTTTAACGCTACAATTTATACATATGACCCGTACATATATAATATCCTAACATAATTAAATATCCTACGGTTATGTACTTGTAATACTTGAAAATAAAATAAAAACATTCTATCATACGCATAGAATAATGACTTCAGGGTGTAATTATATTTTTTATTATATCGTTCTATACCTTTGATTGTTCTGACAGTCATTATACATGACTTGCTATAAGTATGTCTTGATAGAATTGTCCTTATACACATATATGAATTATAACGATCAAGAGAAACGTATATTTTGTAACTAAAATCGACAGATATTATATAATAATAATAATAATAATCTCAGGACAATTCACACAGTGCCATCTAGACCCAAGTTAAGCTAGCTGAAGTTTGTGTTATGGGTACTAGAGAACTGATATAAATACATAGATAATTTTTTTTTCGTAAAGACATACATATTATACATAGAAAACACCCAAATCGATACAAACAATCTTACTGAATACAAATGTATGTGCCGTGCGAGGAATCGAACCCGCGACCATCTGAGTAAAGCGGTGTGCTAGACCGCTATACAACCGAGGTCATCAATACCTAATAATTTATTTTATTTCTTTGAAATTTAGGAAATTTTGTACTAATTAAAAGTAAATCTTATTGTGCGCTAAATTCTCTATCTAAAGGATCAGCTAAAACACTTTGAATGGCACTTAACTTATATAATGAGTAAAAACAACAACAATTTATGATATTTGTTTTTCCAAAATAATTACATAGATTTTCTATGTAAATATTTTGTCATGAATTTTATCTGAATAATTTTATTTTATTGCTTTACAATCAATAATAGGTATATGTATGTACAATATGTATACGTATAGTATTTACATTATATTTTAAAATCATAATACTATCACTGTGCCGATATTAACACTGGTAATAATAATGATTTTAATATCATAATTTAACATAGTCATTACCATTTCACTCTTATTAAAACGTAACATTCGGTATTAGTTAGTATTTCAATATAGGTATATACAATTTTATAGTATTAGATTAAAATCTGGTATGCAGAGATTTGATTCCATTTTTAGACTGGATTATTTATAACATTCTAAAGGTAAAACAACATTCAACGGTCGTTAGGTCACTTGCTTAATCATCACGTGCGGCCGAGTGTAGCATGTCAAGAATATTGCTACTGAAGTAATTGCGCTGTAAAATCACAGTTTTCTAGTCACAACGAAATTATTATAAACATTAGTATATAATTAGTCACTAGTTTTGTTATAATACTATAATACTTTTTAATGTAAGTTTATTATTGATATTAGATCCTTTAAAACTTTTTGCCTATCTAGGATTACAGTTGTAAGATTATTTATTTAATTTATAATTATCGGGTAAAATATAACTATATATATATCTTTAATTGCTTAAATATAAACATGTTTTTCAATAGCCTGCATCAGAAATGTTTGATTATAGTGATTACACTCTCTTAAAATATTAGAAAGTTTTATAAATCTTATGAATATAAATCTACATATGTAGATTTAAGTAAGCGGTTTTTCCATAAAATCCTTAAATTTTTACTTTATAACAATTTGTTGTTTGATTTATTCTTATTTTTCGTCTCAGTATACCTGATCCATCTAAAGAAAAATATGAATTATATGAAGAATGTATTTTTAATGTATGTATAACTTTCAGTTTGTGCAAAATGCTTTTAAATAGCATTTGTTATACTTGGATTATCACTTTTGACGCGCAGTCAATTAGTGTGGGTAGGGACTGCCAGGGCGTGCTCCTAATTTGTCAGTGACAACGTCGGAAGTTCAACAAGCCTAGTTTTAACTACATCAGCGACGTTAAATATCCCTGACATTCATAAAACAATAAATCAAATTGCTCTGCCCTTGAAATAATTCGATACAATCGAATTATTTCAAGGACAGAACAATTTGATTTACGAAGTGTTGGTTCGACGACCTTAAATGTTTGAAGTATGTATATTTACTCTTATTCATGTAAGGTTTATAAAGTGGCCTAATTTGACTTCATATTTAACACGCGATCGTTCACAAATTTTAAGTTATTTGAACTCCTTATTCTATTCTGTATAATAAATCAATACAAATAAAAACTTAAGGACGTGATTATCTAATTTTATATACTTCATAACTTTGTCGTTGTTCGAATTTAATATAATATTTAATAAGTTAAAATTAATTTAAACGGAGTTTGGCTAATTTTAGATGAGAGTACATGCGATTAATTATTAACCAGATGATTTTTGTAATCAAATTTTTATTAGGAAATTCGTGTGGTATTTGTGAATTACCATTAACGTTTATGAATTTTTGAAAGTGTTTTGAATATTGTTCCAGAATTATTACTTTGTGATACTGTATAAAATTAAAAGAGTAAGTAGGCGAATTATATAATTCCAACCTATGTCAGTTTGACCTGAATTTCTTCGTATGCTTAGTTTCGTGAGTCGCGTGCCACGAAACTAATTTAATAAAAACACGGTTTATTAAAGGGTATTTTGGCATTAACGCCTCACCTCGACTCACACACTAACGTTCTTAAGTTAAGTACCTTATCGAATTACACTTGGAAAGAAACAATGTCATGCACATGGTTTTTATGAAATCAACAGAATATAATTATGTATTACGCAGGAATTTTGTCGTAATATATAATTACCGTGGAGGAAACAAGTGTCATAAATAATTTATGATTATCATCGCATTGTCATTAGTATTTTTGAAGGAACCAATTATCATAAATATTCATTAAAAATGAATGTACTTTCGATGTTAATGTTGAGTATTGATACTTCTGGAGAAGGTACTACAATAAATTCTAATATTATTTTGACTGGTAATGTAATGACGGATGAATAAAACAAATGTTGGGTACTTATTTCAAGTTTCCAAATTTATATGGCGATTAGGTTCAGCAGTAGCATTTTCGTGAGAATGTAACAAGTTTTCTATAAACGTTTCCTTTTCTACGTGACGCTCGAGTGAGTTAAAAATCTATGTTATTCGCAAATCTTTGAGTCGATGAAAGTTACTACAACTATATCAACATTGATACTAGGATTTAAATATGTATATGTTACAGTTTATTCTTATTCTTTGTCCATCTAAAACTTTACGATATTATGTTGGATATTATTATATATCAATGAATAATCATTCTGGGTTACTAATAATTCATATTTCTTTATGTCTTTCTTAACAACTAAAAACCAAGCCAATGGTGAGAGTATATTTGCCTAATCTTAGCTCGGGCAGACTTTGAGACATATGTGAATGTGTTTGGTGATATTTAATATATTCTGCATATGTATTACATTTTAAATCCGTACATACACAACGAACGATTTATCGAGTTAGACTATGTAAAAAGTAGCCTGTGCCAAGCAGCTTGCTTTGTTTCGGCTAAATAATGTATATCATAGTCCGCAAGTATGGTAATTACGGGCGTCACATTATTACGCAATGTCCGTGGTGGTCTTCATGGTTACCACTTACCATAGATTCGGCCATCAGCCTGTTTGCCAGTCCAATTATATAAAAAAGAAGACACAGGAAAAGTCGATTTAATTTGATTTATTTAAACAAAACTGCAGTTTCAGTTAATTAAACGTATCTACCTACTTTATGTGCGAGATAAATTTACTAATTAGTGGTTGAATTTAAATCCAGACTTTGGATTATCACACTGGAAGGATTAACCGAGTGTTTTGCTCTCATTAAATTTATCTCTTCATAATCCAAAGAGATTGTTTAATTTTCTACCAACTTCCAAAGAATACCTTTCTTGTTTTAATGGTATATTTGTTTATTGTTGAAAATTAAGTTACATTCTGCTGTAGATCTATTATGGGAACTTTACTACTACTTTATATATCTAATGCAGGCATTGGAATTGAACTGGATACGGTTGACCTCTTATAATGATAATTATGCTGAGTACCTACTCAGTATAGTTGATTATAAATAATTCATTTATAAATAGTTATCTTCTCGCTAGATACCTATCTAGTGAGTATATAATTATTTATAATGTCTGTAATAATATAATATATATACTGATACTCTATGTCTCCTGTGATGTATAGGTATATCTATTCCGATACTCGAAAATAAGATCATTTGATACTGACACTTTGCTTCTACCCTTTTTTTTACAAATCCGATCCGCTACTGAGATGTTTTACCCCACATAAGAAAGGGTAACAATTTACGAAATAGAAACATATTTTTCGAATTTCGTTTTTCGGATCTATTAATAACATACAAGTAAAATATATATTTTAATAGGTAAAATATATAATGAAATATAAAATGAATGTACTCCAATATTTTAATGATGAGCGCAAAGAATTATTTTTTGACGATATTACTGCAGTTTTTTTCATCTATGTATTTGTTATTTTTACTATATTTTCCATTACTTTAAAAAATATTACTTAATTCTTCATAACTTAAGAACAAAAATCACGGTGCTATTTTCTATTTTGTGCATTCTTAATTATATAAGAAAAAAAATAACTGTCAATAATATGGGTCTTATATTTATTTATTACTTTTGTACGTAATGAATTACGTGTTAATCTCGTTCAAACCAATATATAGGTATTGATAACAGACGTACCACAGAGAATTAAACCAACCTAAACGTTAACGGCTTATGCTTAGTAGTAGATTAAGCGATTGATAAAAAAATATGATTGTCACTGCTCTCTGTGATTGATGACAACACCTCAAATTATTAATATCAGGCCACGAATAAGCTTTTGAGGTCGAAATTTAAAATTTCTGCTATAGATTGAGGTTTCTGTATGTAATCGAGATATACTTTGTAAAAAGTCTGCGGCGGTACCTATGTCTTACCTGTGTCAGGCGCTAAGCAGCTTTGTAAGAAGTATTTCGGTTGAAAGAAGAAATGATAAAAGGTATGACATCTTAGTCCTCCGGAACGGCAAAGCATGAGTGGTAGTACTAGCGTTACATGATAACGTCATGACCGTAGTGTTGTTCATGTATCATGCATCGTATATACATAAGCGACAGTTACCACTTACCATGAAGAGAACTATCAGATTGTTTGTTATTCCAATTGTTTAATCTAAATATATATAACTCAAAGGTGACTGATATAGTGATCTATCAACGCACAGCCCAAACCACTGCACTGATCGGGCTGAAATTTGCCATGCAGGTAGATGTTATGACGTAGGCATCCGCTAAGAAAGAATTTTGATTAATTCTACCCCCAAGGGGATATAATAGGAGATGAAAGTTTGTAAGAAACTTTGTCACTATTAAACCGATCGAGCTGAGACTTTACATGCATAAAGCTACTATGACGTAGGCATCACCTAAGAAAGGATTTTGAAAAATCCACCCTTAAGGGGATAAATTAACGCGAGCGAAGCCGCGGGCAAAAGCTAGTAAATCTATAAATCCATTGGTTTCATTTCCTACTGTACTGCAATATAAACATATATATTATTAGTGTTTTCAACAAATGCCATGCATTGTATAAAAGTTACATTTGCCATAGATTTACTTTCTTTTATATTGGGTAAGCATTATTTTCATTTATTCATTAGTTGCGGTTAGAGACTTTAAAAATATTATTAACCAAGAAATAATTAGAAATTTCTAATAGTCTTGAAAGCTTAATTGTTAGTGCAATAGATAAGAACTTAGATCTGACAGAATCCTGGGTTGAAATAATCCGGTATAATAAATCATGAAACAAGGTTCTTTAATGAATTGATTAAATTTGTGCTTTCGTTCACAAACAAAAGGCAATTTCCCAGAAGATGAAAGTTTATGTACAATGTGGATGAAATAACTATATAATATGCTAATTTTTTGAAGTAGTTTACATTTGATGCTTTATAATATTTAAATTTACATTGAAATGTAATGTATATTTTAAATAAATGTATTGAATTACTATATATTATTTTAATAAATTTTACTATAATTAACTCCATCAGATCCTTTAGATAACTAAGGGATCTAAAATATTCTTTAATAAGTAGAATTTGTAGAAAAATAAAATCCATACAAGTAGGTATAGTTTAAGTATTCTTGGCAAATAGTAAAAGGACCTAGTAATATTATTTTTAAGTAGTCAGAGTACTGCCAAATATAATTATTCTGACTGATCTATTAATTGTACACAAATGGTACTTCTCTGATAAAAAACTACAGTTAAAGACTAGATGTTGAAGGCATATAAGGAATTACTGTTCATAATTATTAGATTCAGAATCAGTTCTTTTTTTTATTGATAGTTTATCAGGATATTTGTTATCAATCTCTTTCGCCTGTATCGGCGGTTTCCTTGCTACTGTAAGTAATAGCAAAAAAATATTTATGTTAGTGATTATGCTCCCACATTATGTTAATGCTAAGGGTTTTTGCTTTTAATCGAAAAATAAGAAGGATATTAATAAGATAATGACAATATAAAACATGCATTTTGAAGCCTCACGGTGATAACGTGATGGGTGGTGACTTTGTATATATCGAATAAAAATAATCAACATATTAAATTAAATTTTACACATTATTTAGATCTGAACCGGGCTTCAGTGGGCCAATTGCCAACGTCACGGCTCCACTCGGACGGGAGGCCATTCTTGGATGCACCGTACACAATCTATCAACATACAAGGTAATCATTACAATCATGTATGTATATTACAATAATTATTATAAAGTTATATAATTATTATAGTTGTGTCATATTTGTTACTAACAAATAGGACACAATAATAGATAGAATTTGTTTGTTTAATATTATTCTATTTTATTTAATTATTAAATATTTAATGGTCCGCCGACATGCTGACGAATTTTTGTTGCGAAATTTTCCGTATTGAGATAAATATTCCGTACACTAACCTGAATTCAAATTGAAGGTCAAGTTAAAAAATAAATATTGTCTACAGATTTCGGTTTGTTCTCCATAGAAGTAGTTACTGTACGGTAGATAAGAAGACTCTTTAACAATATAACATAGTCATGTTTTTGCAGATACTACTTTTTTATAAAATAAATTACCTTTTCATTGTGTCATATATTATGAAACTATTTAAATTATTTAGCTGATTGTAAGAAACAAAATGTTGGTTTGTAGATTAATACTGTAAAGTTACTATTTGTACGGAACGACAAAAATATATTTTTGTGCTGCGGTTTTCTACGTCTACGTTACTATTAAAATTACCTACATGCATGCCAGTAGTCGGATAATAAGTATTCTATACATTATTCATAACATAAAAATTATCATATATTTAGTAAATCAATATTAAATTCTATTCCGGTATTTTAGCGTAAATAAATATTATAAATAATATATAATTTATAAATTAGTAACTAGGTCAGACATCGAAAAATAAGAAGGATATTAATAAGATAGGTGTATAATATAAAACATGCATTGTTTTCCTTTGAAGCTTCACGGTGATAACGTGATGGGTGGTGACTTTGCATATATCGAATAAAAATAATTAACATATATTAAATTAAATTTTACACATTATTTATTTTTACTGATTTAACATAGGAGGTAACAAATCAGCTTTCAGGTGAAAACGAGTTTATCTCCTGTCGGTGTTTTAATAGCACAATAAATAGTTAGAAAAAGGTATGCTTATATAGATGGATTAAATGACACAATTATAATAGTTATTTGATTTTTTTTCAGTTCGTTTTTTTTTATAATGTAGACATATACACTGTTGGATTTTCAATGGTAGTTGTAGGATCTGATTGTCAATACTACACAGTACTCCCCTATTTTATTTCTACACATAACAGTAAACTGATCATAACTTATGCGTACTTCATTTAAGTAGATTGTTTGAACGCAAAATAGCTTTCTGCGAATTTTCACACAAATTTTAATATTATTTCAGGAAATTATAATGAATTTTCCAGGCCCCTTTATGATGGATAAGGATGTACTTACTTAAGCTGCTTGTTTCATTTATCTGCAATTAAACCAGATTTGGATTGACTAATTTTTAATTGTTTTTTTGTTGAAATGTGTTAATAGTATGCACTGTTGAAAATTAACTTTTCATTATTATTCTAGTCAGTAGTAGTATTTTTTGATTAAGTAGAATGTTACATACATTCTGCTTAATAAAAGTCAGACTTAGCTATTCTGCTATATCCTTATGTCTTTTTACAAAATACTTTCCTCATTCCAGTTTCATTATTTGTGTGTAAAGATGTAATAAATAAACATATAAACATACTTTTACATTCGTAATGAGAAAGCTATCTTATCTGTGGTAATAGTGAGGATTCAAAGATTTTACGATTTGATCTCGGTATAGATACCGAGGTAAGAAATTTATAAATAATTTAAGCGAGCTGTAATCTTCTTAATAAAACTAAAATTCTCTTCCTGTTTGTTAAAGTTGCTCTGTGAATTTCCAAGATCGCTAGCAACCGACTCTTAAACAACATGTTGAGCGGAGCAAAGTGTATAATCTAAGTAGTTCGAACGTATACAAAGTTGTAGTTTAAGAGTTAGGGAGTTGGCAATGTTGCATTTAAGTCAGATGGTATGCACATATAGGGACAGGTTTTTAAGTAGGTACTAAGTTTAAAAGGTCATAAAGTATTCTTGATCGTTAATTGCATGGGAACTAGAGACACCACAGTTATTAAATTAATTTTAAGTTAAATTTTGATTAAAGTGTAGCTGGTTTATTATAGACCATTAATATACTTAAGGGTGATCATAAATCTTATTAATATAGTTAATTTTAAAAGTACGTAAAATATTATTTTGAATATATGTAAGTGATTCAGTTTTTTTTTTATTTTCTAATATCATACAAATATGTTAGAGTAAGGAAAGTTTGATATGACCTTCTATGTTTTAAAATAAACAGCTTGATATTTGGGAATAGATACTGACGTAAACTACTGCATTGCAGAATTTTTCTGTCATAGCAATAAGTACTGTGTTTTGTTTAGGTTTGAAAGGTAAGGCAATATATAATACATTGGTTTTTAATTATCTTTAGTTGACAAATATGTTTGGATGTATTTAATTTTGAAACAGTGATGAAATATGTCTATATAATACAGTTCAATAATGTTTAAAGCAATACAGATAATGTTTTTGCAAATTACATAATATTAAGTCTGTGTAAATATATTTATGTAGAAAGAAGAAAATAGAAATGTAAAGTAGCAGTTTTACAATGCAAATTCTAAAAAACTATACGCAATGAACATTGTAAAGATGTTGTACTATTTAATAGAAACATTGAATAATAATAAAATATTTTAATTAAAATAATTAATTAAATTTTAATTTCTTGTGTTTGTCCATTAAAGTTATAACAATTAAATTATTTGTTTTAGGTTGCGTGGTTGCGTGTGGACACTCAAACCATTCTAACAATACACACACATGTAATATCGAGGAGTCGTAGAGTTGGTGTTACTCACAGTGACCATAGGGTTTGGTTTTTGCACATAAGAGAACTGAGAGAGACGGATAGAGGGTGGTATATGTGTCAGATTAACACAGATCCAATGAAGAGTCAACTTGGATACTTGGATGTGGTCGGTAAGTTATGAGTGCAAAGTAATATAAAAGTTAACATTTTTAATACTATATGTAAACGAATACCATACTACGCTATAACCAACTTATTTTATTAAATACTCACTCTGTATAATATTTAAAATGTAAGTACTAAGCATTATATGTATTGTATTTGCGATCATTTGCACTTTTAACGGGGTGTTACCCGTTAACAGGCATTTTGTAATATAAATATTAGAATTATAATGCATCCGACAAACTAAATTACAGACTAAGGTATTAGGAACGTTAACACATTGGAAATCGAGTTCAACTTAATGCACCGTAGTGGCCTAAGGGTTAATAGGTGGTAAATATGTCTTATAAAAACTACTAAATTTCATTGTACGTAGTCAAAACTATCTTGAAACTGTGTAATTAGATCTAAAATTATTTTATTCCTGTTCTGACGATAGTATTACATTTTTATAATTAGTGTATTTTAAAAAGTTCATGTATTTTTCACCTAAATGCTCATTTATTTAGGGTTGAATATCTAAATGGAGTACTTACCACTGTCAGCCTTAGCATAGAGTGGTCGCTTTGCACACAAGAGCATATTGATCGCTATATCAATAAAAAGGAATTTTCAAACATTTGACTGGTACTTTGAAGGTATCATAAACTATCCGGCCCGCGTATTTGGTCGTAAATTTTATATAGATTGAACTGGCAGTTTCGGTGTCGGAACATAATCTGCTAGTCACCTTTAAGGTTGTGGTAATAGAAATAGTGATGAATAACTTTTCAGACTTCTTAAGCCAGTCGAATGTTTTCGATTCCAATTGATTGCTAACAAATAATTACAATAATTGTCATCGACAGCTGTCTAATCCCACTATTACTATTCACATGCTCTTCTTTACTATATTTTACAAATAGTATACAAAATTACAAAAAATATTATGTTAAATCTTAGGAACTGTTCTAACGACATGTGAAACACGTACACGTTATATTACAGACTTTATATTACTTAGATTTCGTGATGAATCAGTGAGTGAGTGGTATTTTGCTTTTATATTTGGTGTAGAAGACTCCCCGTTATAGAAAGCCCACCCGTCCTATCCCGTGGGGGTCGTAAAAGGGGACTACAGGAATAAAAAGTCGGGGTTTCCGGCGTAACCGCGGTATTATTTCGCATGATCTTCAAACTACCTACTACGCTTGCTGAGGTTCTAACGATAATATGACAACTAATGGTCAATAGCTTTATATACCATAAATGATATGATAGTTATTATACTTATAATGAAAAATTAAACATACTATTCAAAGAGCGAGGACTAACCGTAAATTTTAAGTATTATTTTAGAATTAATTAAAGTTATTATTATTATGTTTATTATGTTCATTAATTCTTCTCTATGCGCAAGTGTAAATCAGATTCAGATTTTATAATTTCAATTGATATTTATCTGATACATGATAATTTGCAATATATTGATTAAACTGTAGTCTATGTATGAAGGGTATTTATTTAGCTCTTTAAAACACACGCCAGCAAGCTAAATAAGTTAAAATAATAATTTACTGCACAAAGTTTTGAAATGAACATGGTATGGATGTTTTTGAAGTTTACGGCGTGCGTGTGTTGCTAACTTTGTACCTGCTTTCTTCACATAGATTCGTAAATATTTTCTTAGTATTTCTAGTACAACACAAGTAATCGTTCTGGTAGCGTTGATAATGATGTACAGTCTAGTTTGTTGCAAGTTTAACTAGGCATATAATTACACTGTAACACACTAGTTACCATTGAACATTGAAAGTAGAATGAGTATTTCAAATAAGTATATTTACGTAATCTATTTGTTTAAATAATTTTATTGTCAGAATATTGTATAATAGGATACAAAAAAGCGTTCTTCATGTAAGGATCATTCTCATAAAGTATTCAAATAATTAGTATCATAATATAATTATATGTATAGTTATTATTCATTAGTTATTACTTATTTTTTATCTATATTATTTTATCTAGTGTTATTGATAACTAACAGAATTTTTTGCCACCATAATCAAAATTCACTTATTATTAGCTCACTGCTGGATATGAGTCTCATAACGTACACAGAACGGTGACAGTACATCGTCGCATAATGAATAAATATTGATTATTTTTTTATATAATAATGAATATCATTGTTTGGATAAAATCTCGACTTGACTTTTCAATCAATATTCGCGTATCAGTATTTACTGAAATTTGATAAATGATTGAAAATTTTAAGGTAAACCTTTACAGGATTTCAAGGTGTGTGGGACGTAGAGTTCTTAGCTCGCAAGTTTTAATCATTAAGCATGAAATCGATCATGATATTTATGCATGAATGTTTCTTTCACAAGAAATCTTTATACATATGCTTCACTATAACATGTGGACCATCTTCGGAATATAATTTCGAATAAAATTAATTTTATTATTATTGTATTTATGTTACATATTTTTTGGTTTTAATATTACTGAACTTAATTGCACCAATATTAAGTTTAAGTTCATATTCACAGTACCTCCTGATATCCTCGATCGAGGAACGAGTACTGATGAGACGGTACGTGAAGGAGAATCCGTCAGTCTTACATGTGCTGCTGTGGGGTCTCCTCCGCCACAGATAGCTTGGCGTAGGGAACACTCCAAGCCTATAACTGTGTCAGACGGGATACAAGGTAAGCCTCTTATTTTAAACTATTTCTATTTCTATTTCTATAGATTTATTTAACTTGTCCTTTTTTATTTGTATAAATGTTAATACATTTTCAATTTTATAAGCGTAATATAATAAGATGAGCCAAATTATAAATAGTAAAATATTACGCAGGGTCGTTTTGTCTGACAACTGATTTAAATACTTAAATATTTATTTTTGTTTATATAATAATATGAAACGCCCGGCCATCGCAAATGAAAGCGATGCTAAACCATTAGACCACTGAGGTTGTCAATACAGAATGTATATACTTATAAAATTTTATAACCCTATATAGGTAAACACATATAAATATTCGATTTTAATTAGAAGAAATTAGATGAATTTAATAAGGTTTCGTTAGACTTCGTGAATTTTAATTAGAAAACAATAGCAAAATGCGATCAAAGATAGAAAATATGCGGTGGTGTTTCGGAAATTAGCATTTCCCTTAATTACCTAGTGTTTATAGGGCTATAAATATATCTTTTTCGAATACAAGATCAAGTTTATGTTCGTTGGACAAAATAAAAACAGTTAAAATTATAATTCATTTCATAAGATTAATTCCAAGAAAAGAAATGTACTATAATGATTTTTTTTTAAGACGGCTCGGTGGTCTAGTGGTTTAGCATATCGCCTTACTTACTACGCCAATGGTCGCGGGTTCGATTCCTTGTATGGCACAAACATTTGTATTCATTTACATCGCCATATATTTGTATTTCCATTATTTCAGAATAATAAAGTTTATGTTTAGTGTATAAATAAATTTCGCCATATGAAATTATTAACACCCACATACACGTAGGATTTGGATAGATATTATCAAATCTAGATAGCTATTTTTAAATAATTATAATATTGAATTAGTGATAATTTTAGACCTGTCGCCTGTCGTAAGACATCACGTTATTATGTGCCGGTCGCTATGCCTCCACCCTTTTATCCTTCAACAAACGAAATTCAGCTTACAAATCTACCTTCTAGGCGGCTGAAATAGATGAGAATAAGGTTGCCTTTTCAAAACTTAACCTCGGCAGATCGAAATATGTACTCATATATTACGGTCATTGTTTACCATCAGACGAGCCGTATACTAGATTGCCACCACTGTGGTATAAAAATAAGAAAAAATATGCTAATAGATTATTGCTTTTCTTTCTTTTGTTGGATAAAAGCTAGAATAGGAGTAAATAGTGATGAATATAAATTTCTTTGTTTATTAATTATTTGTTAAACTCAGATTGCTCTGTGTGGTGTCTGATTATAGTAAATTATATTTTGTTTATCAATAGAACATTCATTTTGTTTAGCGCTGATATTGATGGCTACCACCATGTTATATATACCATTTTATATGTAACCTACCAAGCCATTAATAGGCACCATCAAACGTTCCTTATCATCCTTATTAACGACAGATAATCTGTCTGCATTCAATCCAATACTGTATCTGTGTAGGCAGGTCACATCAATCCTGTTAGGTATATTGAATATGCTATTTGATTTATTCATATCACTTATCATGAAATATCTCTCTATACGAATTGGGTTAAGTTGACATTATGAAAATAATTCCAGGTAGGTTTCTAAGAACTATATTCAACTTTTCTAGAAAGAAAATAATTATTTTGAAATTGATTTCAGTATTATTTAATTGCATTTACAAAATTTCACGATAAATGATGTATTTGCTTTCGAAACGCCTGCGTGTACTTGAAACTGAATTAATAAATGTAAATAATAAACAAGCGGAAATAAAATAGCAACCGCAATATGTTGAAACCTTTGTTTACGTACATGCGTATTGTTATTTTAAATTATTCTATTACAAAATTTTAATATATGTATTTAACTTCAGCCTATATATTTTTTAGCTTGATTTATGTTTCTGTTAAAGATGCAATAGAAATGTCTAACGAGCTGACGTGCTACCTGATAAATGGAAACTTTATTTTAATTGTATAGGATTATGTTAAAAAAAAAATCAACCGCAAAACTTTATCTGTTGTATAGTTATAAAAAACTGGAGTGTCTTTTCATTACAATACTTTTTATATATTACGTTATAAATTTAAACCTTATATATATACAAAGTTTGAGTTTATTTAACATTTAACAAACAACTATTTAGATTGTAGAGTTGTGTTTCGGTTTTCAATAAATATCAAAGCGATACATGTATAAATAAATACATTATAGTATAAATATGTATTATTAATTGTACGTAGGACTGATAATTAATTTAGAGATATTTGTATTATAGTGAATAAATTAATATAGCGAATTTGTTATTATATAGACTAGCTACTCGCCCCGGCTTCGCACGGGTTTACATGTATTATATATGTATATAAACCGTCCTCTTGAATCACTATCTATTAAAAAAAATCGCTTCTAAATAAATTCTGTAGTTTTAAAGATTTAAACATACATAGAGACGGACAGACAGCGACAGCTTTGTTTTATACTATGTAATGAAGATAGATTTAGCCATAATGTAGATTTTTGCTGTGGTTGCGTCGTTATTAAATAAGTAAAAATATTTTCAGTGACATCGTTGGAGGGTCCGGTTTTAAATATAAGTCGAGTGAATAGGCAGCATGCAGGCGCATATTTGTGTATTGCTTCAAATGGAGTGCCGCCAACAGTAAGCAAGAGAATAATACTCACAGTTCAGTGTAAGTTTATTCTTATCTCTATCTTTTGTATTGTGGTATCAGAAAATAGTAAATTCGAGATATAATAAATTTTAAAATACTGTATTTATTGCACTGTAGAAATACAATAAGGTGACATTTTTAGACGCATCAATCTACAAAACATTGTTTATATTATGTTCTTTATAAACAAGAACAGGAACAGGTATAGCCGAGAACTTCATTGAGTGGAGTATAAAATATACGTAACCATTCAGTAATTATTAGTGTTTAATAAAGTTAATTTTAGGTATAAATTTATATTTTAACAGTTCCACCTGTGATTACTATAAGAAACCAATTGGTTGGTGCCGCGCTGGGAACAGATTTAGTTTTAGAATGTGAAACAGAAGCATATCCGAAACCAGTGAGTTATTGGAGTAGAGAAAACGGGGAAATCGTTCCTGTTGGTAAGTGAAAATAGAAAATATCCTGTGTTATCTATATAACTAAGATGTATGTATAGTAGTAGTTGATAACATTGTAAACAAAAAGGTTATCTTGTATTGAAGCTCGAAAAGCCTTATGATCTTTAAAAAGTAAAAAATAATTAACATCCACTTAATTCCCCTTTCATTAATTCCTTATTTTTAGAAATATATTTTAAACATAACATAAGTTTCTATCCAGATCAATTGTATTAGTGGATAGGTAAGCAATACCACAAGTATTGTTATTTTTGTGGTAGGAAGACCTCCTTGTTAACAAGCTTTTAGACAATTCTTTAAAAGAAATTGGCATGATTCGGAGGCAATATTATTATACAATATATATTATTTTATATTTCGTAATTCGAGATATAGGTAAACCAAAACCTATTTTCATAACCTTTGGTGTAGTTTAGTCTGTACAGGAAAAAAATAAGTTTACAAATATGCATATCCTCCTTAATAAATTAGTATAGCTCGAGTATTAGAATTCGTAAATTGTGTTTAAGTAAAACAGCCATTTAGTTGCTGAAATGGGCAGTTAAAATCGTGAGAGGCGTATACTATATCCATGTTGTAATTAGGGCCTTACGGTAAATAATGTGTTTTTCTTATTATACGTTTTTTTATATTTCTACAAATGTGTTTGTTTCTTTATTGTAAACAATAAGTTATATGTATATAGACATTTATGTCTTAAAACAAAATGGATTCACAGTAGCAGACGATTTTATGTTTAGAATAGTTTTGAAAATAGACTGAATATTATACTCATGTATTGTTTTTTTGACAGGAGGTGGTTTAGAGCCACAAAAGATAGACGGATCATACCGTTCAGTGTTGCGTTTGGCAATCAGAAGGATCACTACTTCGGATTACGGCGCATACAAATGTGTCTCTAAAAATTCGTTGGGAGACACGGAGGGTACCATTAAATTATATCGTAAGTTAATACATTATATTTCTTTATAACAAAATTACTATTATAAACTAAAATAAGAAAATACCTCTTTTATAATGTCATTTAATATGCAAAAATAAAAATATTGAGAGTTTAATTATATGCTAATAATACGGTTAAAAAAGAGATGTTGACTAATAAATACGACAAAATCTGATGCAAAGTAAATTAAATCGGTTTACTATAAAATAAATGTACTGTACTCTATAGTTAATATTGTTTACTAGTAATTAGTCTCGAACTTTGTCTATTGTCTTGTTGGTTAAAGTTTGTACTTGGTATAGGAGTTTGTTTTAATTTGCTTTAATATAATGATAACTTATAGTTGTATCGTTATAAATATTGTTTTTTAACTACGCAGCAATGCCTTCTCCGGCTGTGGAAAATAAAAACGGTAAGTTATTATATGATGTCCTGTTTACTCATAAAGATATATTTGAAATAATTAAAATTAATATATTTTTAGCAGTTGTACAGAGGATGAACATAATGGCTGACAAATCATCTGAAAGCACTCCATTTGGTACGCAGGGTATGTTTTATAATATCTTAAATACTATGAGATTTACTGGTGTTTAATTTAGATTTCGAAAACTTTAAACTTTTGTTATTCTTGTACATGAAAACAGACATACAAGAAAGTTCAATATTATAAAAATACAAATTGACAAAAAAGAAAAAGAATAATATTAAATTAAGATATATAATTATACGATTCACAAAAACATGCTACTCTGTTACTGAATATTAGAATGTTATGTGAGTGGAGTTTCATGTACGAGTTCGATATACGCGTATACCTACTGTTTGATAATTTGTATAAACAAACCCATTAACTTCTTAAAAAACTGTAATTATCTATATTATTATTGTCTAGAGGTATACTTTAAAGTTATTTAGTATTTCAAACAATGGGTATACGAATATGCGATTCATATTTTATATTATTATATGTATTGTAGCATGGAATATATACTTAATTACTCTTTACACTATAACTTTTAAAAATATAATACCGTCATCTGTATTAACAGCTAAAAAAATAAACCCTCTAGATATTCAAAATAAATAATATTCGTTGAGTATTTAAACAATACATTTCAGCTATGTAGAACTATTCCTATAATTGCAGCGAATTGTAAAGAATATTTATTCTACAGATTGTTAATATAATGAGACACTTATGATACGTCTTATAACAATACTAAGTACGTATATAAAGTCACCGCTACTATTATGATAGTTATATGGAAAACAGTAGAACGCCAAATGCTCCGATTATAATTGACCTCTTTCACCCTTCGACATTCATCAATCTATTCAACAAGATTGTTAGTTACGGGTTACTTTTGACTTGGGTGTTTTTCATTCTGTTCGTTTGCGCCCCTCATGTGCGGACATCACCATTTCTTATCTACTCATTCTCTCTCGCTTAATTATATTTCATTCTTTATTTTTTCCCTAAATAATACTAGTATAACATTGTAATCAATTTTCGCCCTTATCTACATTATTTCTTAATCTATATTTTTATTTTTACTTTCTTATTATTTTAAACTGATTTCATTATTAACTTATATTGTGTTAAATATTCCTTTTATAATGTATAGAAAACTCTCATAATTTGGGAAAAAATAACTCGTGCATATAGTCTTCAACCACAGAGATAGTAGCATACATATGAAAAGTGTTTCGTAGGTATACTAAGTATTCTACCATTTGGTAGAATACTTAGTAAATATATGTACATATTTATGTAAATATATGTACATATTTAATTATATTTGTATTTAATATATCACAATTTCTTAAATAATAAAAATCTAACATGTACAGTAAACATTTAAGCACCTATTTTAGAATGTTCTATATTGCGGTCATAAGATCAATAAGTTACGCCTGAAGTTTATGGGAAAATGCTTTCTCTTGAAAAGTTCTTATAGTTGACCGAATAACTGATAAGTTGATTTTTTATAAATGGTACCCATATTTATATTATACATAGAATATATTACATCAGCATATATTTTTATATAAATATGATAATTATTTAAAAATAAAAGTATTCACTAAAACATGTTTGATAATAATAAAGTTAAATTTATAAGAAATGTCTTCCAGTCAACTATAAATAGAGATACTTTACTCGAGATAATTAATATTAAATAATAAAAAACAAGAGTTTTGCCTTGGTTATTTTTATATGTAGGCTAATTATAAAAATGTTTTTAGATTTCAGGCTACAAGATTACAATGGAGCCGTTACGAGGGATCAGCTCTGTTACGGTTTTTTATTCTCATTAGTCATATTAATCAAGATAACAACATCATCAATTTAGGGCTGTTCTCTTTGAATAACTTATAAAGTAAATTAATTTTACCTTCCCGTACAACCGCCTAGATGAAAATATTGCTTTGATGTTCATCTCTCTGAAACAAATGATAAATGCCGCTTTTCAGTTGTTTATTGTGTTATAACTTTCCAATCAACGTCAGTACTAAGCAATTTCCAAATTATTAATTATATAGTAATGATTGTAGGAAGCGTTGGAATATTTGAGTCACATATCGTGACAGATTAAATAATATATTTTACCGATAACAATGTCGTTCCTATAAACCATGGCCAAATATCGAGTTCCTTTCTACTTCTTACATAATACTATTTGATTACTAAAATATTACTCATAGAATAAAATTAAAATAATTTATTCATTCATATTTAAACGAATTGTTTTCAGTTGAACATAGAAAATAGACTTAAAATAAACTATAATGTAATAAACAATAGAATTAGTGAGAAATTAAAATTGTCACATAATTTTGAATAACAAACGCTTTGAACTGTACGTATATTGATATTACAAAAGGAATTTTGAATATTGGACTTCATTTATTTTGATGTCAGATGTTAAGTAATCACTGCTAAACTTATCCAATTATTTATAAACATATGTTTTACTACCATTCAATATAATGTGATTGACACATTATTTAAATTATTATTAATAGCATTTCTTTTTCGTCTTGTACACATTAGCTTACCACCGTCGTTCCTACTTGAAGGTATTGTCTAAGTTTCAGAGCCCTTTCTCTTATTCTGTTGTTTGAAATTTGCCTCAATGTGGTTATGATACAGTTAACAATTATACGCAAAAATTAATTATCTTACATCAATTATTTATACAAGGAAAGTCAAAATCAAGTATATGTATGTAACAAAAAAGGAATGTTAGATATTCAAAGTCTGTTTTTGTTTCGAATTTTCTTAATGTGAGAGTTATTCGTATATAGGTAGTCCAACGCTTCCAAATTATATATATTATGTAAGTGTACGTTTAAACAAAATATTGAACATTTAAAATTTGACCAAAAATACAAAATTAAACAAGATTTGTTAATTTTGACATTGTGGTATCAGTTTTGTAGGTGAAAGTACTTTCAAAGTTAGATCTCAGAAGTTTTGCTTGCTTACCTTTATGCGTCTGCGTACCCAGTTGATAAATATTAATAAGAACAGAAAGTTATGTTGTGGTTGACAGATAATGAATTAATTAGAGTAGCTTATGGTAGATTTATATCCGTATGTAAATACATTCTTTTTTAGGCTATTTCTTTTAGGTACCGTATAGTTTTACAATCGACTGAAATTGGAAAAATTTAGAAATACCAAATACTTAGTTTAATTTCTAATGTACTAGAACACTAGTAATAAATATACCACATTTTATATAATATTTCAAATGTTTATAAATACTTATTTTGTAGATTTTATTTTATTGAAACATGTGTTAATACAACAATATGTCTTTATATAACAATTTACAGATATCTGAAATCGCATATATGTATATTATTACAAGGACAATTAGGTACATGTATTCAGTAACACATATTATTAGGGATTACATGATAGAGTACTAATTAATAATTTATAAAAAAATTGATTAGAGTAGTTAATAAAAATCTATATACATTACAAATTAAGAAAGGAATTAAAAAAATTATAGGTTTGTACTGAGATTAGGCAATTATTAGCAAAAATATACAATTAATTTCGAGTATAAAAACAATATTTATGTAATATAATTTATAACCCAAATTGGAGGTTTGTAATTTTACCTAAAGCGACATATCTACTTTATATCATTCCAGATTCCAGATTAAGAAAAAAATTGTAGATACCTATAATTATACGACTAAGTTAGAATATTGGAAGTATTAATAAATATAGACTGAGTTGAATGAATATTAGGCTTGTAAATATTATAATGCTGTGTAATGTGTAACTAAATTATTTTGTGCTCCTAAAAAATGTGAGATATGATTAAACCTGTTCGAGGCAGTCAATTACCAAGCGCATGACGAGTGAATAACACGATTATAAGCTTATATCGCTTTTGTATTTATTAAATTATTTCGTTTAGCAAAACAAATATCTATAGGTATGTTAAAACAAAAAAACGAAACGACGGGGCAAAACGGCACGGAATAACGTTCACACGTAAACGGCCATCCAGGGTAATTAAAATTTATATTTGTTTCCTCCCTTTTCTAATAAATTTAGGACATTTTTTCTTATGTAAATAACAAGTAGATCATTTTGATATTTTGCATGTTCAACAGTATCGTAGCATAAATGAAGTTCATTATTTATTAGCGAAGGGGATGGTATACCCAATTGTGACATGTTTCTATTGGTCTGGTAAAACTAATTCAACTTCGTCTGCCAGAATTCTTAATCAAAACAACGAGTCTTGACATTCGTTTGTAGAACTTAAATAACTTTACTTCGACAGAAAGAAAAATACAATATCTAAGTACGCGAATGTCTTAGTGTCAAATATTCAGTTGTACATGCGGACCACAATGGCTTGTAACAATTAAATTGATATAATTTGACATGGCGTTTTTATTAACTTGAATACCTATCCATATAGTTTAGTACAGTTTTGTGTTATAATTTATTTATTAAAACTAAAGCACAAATACACAAATAAGCACGTGGCGGACTCAAGACCTGGAGGTATAATCATAGTATGTATTTTTATACTTTAGATATACAAAAATAATAACAAACTATAGGATTAATGAAAAGTATTTAAAAATTTATATAATGTTTCGATAAACACATATATATATATGTAGTGTTTCGATATTAGATCTCCCTTGGGAAAAGTTGTTTAATTGTATTGATAACGAGTAACAGGAATCTCGAGATTAGTGTTTTGGTTCTAGAGCTTTTGTAAAAAAAAGCAGTATTTTTTTATTTAACAATCCAGTATTTACCTAGTTCAGTAAAGTTTTTATTACAGTTTTATTACTAAAAACAAGTATATCTATTTATAGTTCAAGCAAGTTCTTCTAAACTAAATAAATAGACAACTACAACAACTAGTATTTGTAACATTTAGTTAAACTTAACTTAGTCTTGATGTTATTTCTCTATAGGTAGTTAAAAAACTTTATTTCACCAATTTATGCAACTTACTTTTTTGTCCTACAAAACTCCTGTTGTAGTTTGTGTGTAGGCACGTAGTTAGCTTTTACTCGTAGTTACGAACTATGTTATTAAATAAAACTAAAATGCGATGTTCCGTATTTACAATATTTGTATTAAAAATAAAACAATTAAAAAGCATTTATCATTTTATGTTTGTTAAGACTTGTTTTTAATAAATACTTTTAAGCCTTTTTTTGATATTTCATGCTATTTTAAAACTACATATAACGATTATACTAAAGATTACAAATGTTTGTCCTATGCGAGGAATCGAACAAACGACCATCGGAATTAAGGCGGTGTGCTAAACTGCTAGACCACTAAAGCGTCAAAACTATCATAAATCAAATAATAATATTACAAAACTAAGTACTATTTTGGCGATGTTATCATCGTAAAGTATCTAGTGCGGCAAAGGAACCTTTATATTGAGTAAACTCATCGCACTGATACGATAAGTTCGACCCAAAAGCTGTTTAGGTATGTAATATATATATATATTTAATACTATTAAAACTTAACTAATTACTTTACTCGATTCAAGGATTAGGTATATATTATTCGGTGAAGAAAATTACATTCTCTAATCTACTCGGCAATCACTGTAAAAAATTTAAGTTAATTTTTTTGTATTCTGAGTAAAAAGAATTAAGAGATGGTAAATACTCGGAGATTAATTATTTTAATTACTTCCAAAACCTGCGGTTTTCAAATTAGATAAGAATTACCATAGGAATAAGTAAATAGGTGTTGTAGTGAAGTACTACGAGTGCTTAAATATTAGTTTAATATTCAGGTAATCAGGTAGAGACGATGGTTGTAATTAGCCGTCGAAGTTTCACATTTCAAAGGAGAGATCAAGACAATCACAATTACTTAGACATCGCGAACAGAGAACAATCGACATAGTGGAAAGGTAAGGTAATACGTACGTTAATTACTAATTACGTGATAATACTATCTATATATCACCGTAGAAGGCGTCCCTATATACATTTAATATGTTATGTACATAATGTACTGTTGGAAATTATTGGCAGAGGAGATACATATATAGAAACAGATTATCAATTCTATTGAAGTTTAATTGCTACAAAATCGCTAAAATTAATTTAGTTTTTTAGTTTCAGTTCAGTAAAGTATGCATAAAAATTATCGCCGATTGAATGATGAAAATTGAGTCTAAATTCCAAAACCAAATTCTTCAGATGATGGTCATCTAAATAATTTGGATGAAGATGCATATTTTTAGAGAAGTGTAGATATTAGAGCATAGAATTAAGATTGTATGTACACAGTATTTCATTTGACATATTTAGTAAATAATATTCCAGTAAATTAGTAGTATAATATCAATGTATAATCAATGAGAGTAGCTAAACCATTTCTATTAACAGAATAATGAGAATTCGGTTTCATTATTATTATTATCTGTTTCTCTATTTATTTTTATTTCTCTAATTATATTAAAGACGAATGCGCCTTAGTGTAAAAGAACTAGAATTCTATGCATACAATAGGTGTCGTCTACAAATCTAGTTAAAATATATATTTGTGTCTGAGACATTGGATAGGCAGGCAGTCTGGTATTAAATTTTAGGTTTACGGAGTTATTATAATATAAACCATACAAATATCAAATGCCTCAAAGCCTGTCGATCTCTATTAATATATATAACTCTATAAGTATATTGTGTAATTAGTTAGTAGGTATTAATATTAATTCAATACCAGTATCTCGTTAGGTAATATTGGCATTTCGTGTTAGTTGAAGCTTATGGAGACAAGATTTACGGCCAATTTAACAACGTCATGCAGACAAAGTCGCGGGCATCGACAGCGTATGTAGAAATAACTGTTTAAGTTAAAAGTTACAACCAAACCGAAAGTCCAAAGTGATAGTATTCATGAGAGTAATCAACTTTCCCAAAGAATAAAATTGGAAAGGGATATTAATTTTTGAAACCTTCATAAAAACTGTTAGGGTCACGTGATTAATTACGTATGAAAAATTAAACAAATATTTTTACATTTCCACTTTGTTTCTTGGTGAAAATTGTTTAATTGTATGAGGACTTCCGGCTTTATCCCTTTTAAGAATAATCATACGTTTTTCTGCTAGACAGTCCAGAATAATATTAAGGTACCTTAAACGCAAATGTTTAATTTCATTTTATGCAGATCTAGGGGAAGAAGGTGTTAGTAATGGAGATTCTGATCTGATCCTGATTGCTAGCAATATGCCGTATCAAGTTGACCTTGGTATAAATATTTAATGGTTGGTTTCTGATTAATTCTTCCCCATAGGCAAACTGATCTGACTTCATGACACTTATCCTATTAACCTCCTTTAGTACCCTGCACACGTACACCGTTAGCGCAAACAGTATCACATCCATTATCATCCATTAAAAAAACATGTTTTATGGTTGGAAATAAAGGTCGCGTAAGATCTTATTAGCAAATCTCTGATCTGATCGGATCTTACGGGAATATCTATTTATACAACTCGAAACTTTTATATAATTTTAATAAATAATTGTAGACATTCTTTTTATGTACTTAATAATTAGAGAAGATAAAGAAAATCTACAGTACTTTAGGCTAGGATTACCTAGGCTGTACGGGGTGTAATTCTGAAAATTCGTGTTCGTGTGGCAAAGTGCCCAGGGAGTGGTTTGCTGGCTGCATTCCTTTGTTCAATAACAGTTACATTTTAGTTAAAAGTAAAGAAACAAACTACAAGAAAAAATAAAATATTCGAAAGACAGAATTTTGGAATCGAGTTCAAATTATTAACATTGGTGTAGAGAATATTGTGTAAAATAATATTGTGTTTTAATAATATAAATTTAGTCAAACAAAATAAAATTGTCGAAATTGTTATTACAATTACATTTATTTTTACAACAAATAGGAATATTATATGTAATTTGAATATATAGTGGGAATGTGTGTGTTTGTGTATGTATGTAGGTAGATTGTTGATATAGTAAATATTTTTTATACCTTAGAAATAATATAAATCTATAATATATACATATAAAATATAAATACCTGTACTCTTTTAGCTGAACATAATGTTTTAAAACGGTAGTTTGAAATAGATATACAAGAGTTGTCGCAATAAAGCACATATAAAACACAACAACTTTAAATAACAATTTAAAAAGAGAAAAAGCCGGACGTCAGTAAAAACTACTGTAGTACTTACAAGTATATAAACTTTATATAGAAATTCTCCTTGTGTCTTGTTTAATGTCCTAACAGTCCTTACATTAATTCCACGATATGCAATCTGATATATCGCTCCATTTCTAAGGAAAGCAGCGACCCACATATATGAAAATTCTGTGTTTCGTTTATTTATGAATATTTAGACATGTATGTTGTATCTGATGCATCAATATTGCTTTTGCATTTGCATGATACAACCAAAGATTAAAACTAAAACGGAACGTATAGGTATGAGTTACACAAACACTACTTTTTATTAGTCCTTATATAGTTGTGCAAGAGTTAAACATATTTTTTCTGCTAACATAATAAGAACAACCAAATATAACTCAAGTGTGGATTTATAGAAACAAACATTTTCTCAGTTTTTGTCACAAATGTTAGTTTTGAGAAGTCAATTACA